GAATCACAGACGTAGGTTGTTGACTAGTACTGTTCTCCGACGGTAAATACTGTTGCACAGGGTCTCTGCGTTCCGGTTGCACGATTGTAACCTGATAAAAAATAAAGCTATTAATACTAGCAATACTCGTTTTATTTCTAAATCTCACAATCAGTCATACTTCAATTAATTAGACTTAACACATTGTTGAAAAAGCTCGTGTTTTCAAGCCTAACTATTGTTCAATGACGAATTAACTTTATTGTTATTGTATTGACAAATATTGTTCAATGACAAATGAACTTATGTATGCAATTGCATCAGAAATTAAATCAATACAGGGCTTCCCAATATTGACTATGTCGTGATTAAAATTTACTTTATTCATCCAACAATTGTTGAAATGCTCTTAGACTTCTGATATGCTATTTGCCTAAGTATCTAAGCAGTTAGAGTTCATATATCTATAATTAGACGAGCACAGCTATGTATGATAAGGAGACAATCGGTTTCAGCAATTTTGTAATTGATAACATGAAATATTGTTCCTTAAAAGTCTTCTGCGTATTTTTTCGTAAACTCAATAACTTTTAAATGCAGTGTAGAAATTATTTACAAACACGATGCCTGTTATGAACTGTAACTTAGACGTAACAGCATATCTACGCTTTTTCAAACGAGATTTTCTCGAAAAGTAAACTTCAAATGAAAAAACGTTTTCCTATATACATTAATACTCTTTCGCTATAGTTCAGATTTATTCAACTAATATAATATATAATATTCAAATAGTAATGTTAAGCAAACCTGCACGCACTGCCCATACAGTTCAATCACAGGGTAGATATGCGGCGGTACACCGGAGCAAGCGGGCCCCTGATCCACTCCATCTAAATAATAATGCAAGGTGCCGTCCGAGCATCGTTTCATCCCGATACAATTACCCTCCACGAGTTTGTCTAAATCGCAAGCATAATTGCTCCTTAACGTGTCACCGTCTCGCATAACGTTCGAGCCAGATAACATCCAGGTGTCGTGATCGATGTCCGTCATCGTCGACGGGAACTCCAACTCGTCCGGTCTTATAAGAGTTACCCCTTAAAAAAATATCTTCTTAATACGGAACACAATAGAATACCCAGTTGTACAGAACGCGATCCGATATAGAGATATAGTGAGCGTAATTCGTATAAATGCACTTTGAAAGTTAATGATTTTGCTGCTTATTTGAAAATAAATGCCAGACTGAAAACTTCGTTCAAATTTCGATGCAAATACTTCAGCCGATTTTTAGATTTTTGCTGACATATAAACAAACGCTTTTTTTTTATATAATAGTAAGATAGAGTTCTGCAGCTGAGACATTCTGTATTTCTGAATATGTACCTGCTTCGATTGCACCTGTCCATCTGTCGACCATTTTATCAATAGTGACCTCGAACATCTCGCCGTCTCGAAGCGGACGATTAGCGATCACGATGGCTTCGTTGAATTCCCATAAAGCTCTAGGCCTCAACGCGGTCAATCCGTTGTTTACTATCTTCGCGTTCTTACTGTGTATGTGATGGAACCTCAAGTCGCTGTGTTTAAAGAGAATAATCAGTAACAGTGGATTATCATTGGGCGTAGCTTCAAATCACAATCATATCCAATACAAGAATTTTGTTATCTTTTGCTGTTGTTTGTGTGTTATTATAATTCTCAACTCCCAAAAATATAGTCATCGTGTATATCTCGTATTTTTACTACCACAGCACTGAATTGCTTACGTTTAGCTATTGAAAATCACAGATTCTACGGAAATCATAGTGTGAACACTCCATAACAAAATAAATTGGAAATGTTAATATTCTACATACCTAACATTGGTCATCGTGAAAGGGAACTCGAGCTCGGTCGGGGAATGAGTCGTGACGCCAATCTCGATGGATCCCGCCCATTTCGTCACGATTTTATCTAAGCGAACCTCGAACAATTCATTTGCTTTCAACGGCCGCGACGTTAACACAACCCCGTTATTGAAATCGTCCATCACGCTAGACAACAATTACGCATTATTCACTAACCGGCTTTCTGCAAGTTTGAATTTATATAATTTTTTTTGGCTTAAATTTGCATTACTTAGGCCTGTGCGCAGTACGACCGTTATTAATCACTTCGACGTGCGTACCGCAGGAAGAATGAAACATCAGCCGGTCCGGCGGTTCTTCCTCCGTTTCTGTAAAAATGAACTAGCATTATGTGGGTGTCAGGATATTAATGATTCCGTTTGGTGGTATGCTTGATGAGAAATCCCTATTAAAACGGTCGACAATATGGCCGTGACCAAACGCCACAATTATTTACGCATTCATGATGCTTCTCTTACCATTTAATCCTTGCAGATGCAACGTGTTTCTCCTGGTAACTAAATTTTGTTCTTCCCTCTCGTCGCGATCGACGATTGTTACCTTCACCGTCATACCGTACAAATCTATCACACCCCAAACGCCTCCAGGTACTTTCGCGGCGATGCCTTGATCCAAACCGTTTATCAAATAATGTAGATTTCCGTTGCTTCGCCTTATCATGCCTACTCTGTCACCTTCCTAAAGCAGAATACATCAGATATAATATAAAATGTTAATGGCAATATAGTAACAACTTTGTATATTAAAATTACTCTTAATTCGTCGAGATTAAATTCTCCATATTCGCGGCAGATACCCTTGCCGTTCACCAAAATCCCGCAGCCAGACATCATCGTAGTTCCTGATCGCATGTTAGTCATCGTTGCTGGGAATTCTAACGCAGTTGGACTATGCATGGTAACTCCGACCTCTATACTACCCGACCATTTGTGTACCAGTCTGTCGATTCGTACCTAGAATTTAATTCCTGTTAATTGCTTGTTTGTTAGTCTTTCTTGTAATCTTAAATTTCTTATATACAGTCTTTCGATAAATGTGAAGTTGTGACCAAGAAGTTACACTTATCGTGTATTCTACCATTAAAATGTTTTACCGTAAGTACAAGATAAATCCTATATAGCGAAATACAGTAATAACGCAACTACAAAATTTGTTTGCCTTTGACTTGTTCCAAATGAATATTCGTGAGATTCTTCTAATTAAAATAATACCAAATATGGTATAATCTCAATTAAATGAAAAATGTTAATAATTCATTTTTTCCACC